TTAAATAATTTTAATTTTATGACATTATTATTTATTATTTATTTATCTATTATTTAGATTTACAACTCCAAAGATTTTAAACATGTTCTTTCACTAATATAAGAAAACAAGAACAAGAAAAATACTTCCAGAAATATCTATTTTATTGCAACTTTACCGTTAAGGAAAAAAAAAAATAAAAGGAAAGGTACCTGGAATTTCAGTGAAAGTCTCTCCAAGGACAGACACATGAAAAGGTAGATCTTCCTCCTTCAGTTTCAGTAGGACTTTGAAGAAAGTTTCAGGACCTTTGTCATGTTCCCTTGAAACAAAGAGAACTTATCTGAGTATCATTTATTGAGCACTTGTGGAATTGGTGTTTTTTGTTTATCAGAACAGTATTTCTCTTAAATTGTACTTTTGGGGACTAAACACCTTTGGCATAATTTCCCTCTTTGTTTACGCTGCGTGGTTGAACATTTTCTTCAACCCAGCAGTGGAGATCAAAACTCAGTTTCATTAGACTCCTCTCTCTCTTCCCTGTCTCCAAAAGATGCCTTTACTCTGCAAATTACCAACTTTGAAAGTGAGAAGGACCGAGTAATATCTCACTTAGCTGAAGGTAAAATCATGGTAAAAAAAGGAAAAAAAAACACTTTTTTTTTTTTTGGCCCATCCAAAAGTATGTATACAACCTCCATTACAGTTTACCCCCTTTTTTTTCAGAAGGAATAAGTTAATAAAAAACTTTTGCTAAAAATTTAGGATTTTCCAAACTGGAATTTTATAAATCCATGCTGTGCTAATGTAAAGCTTCTAATCCATTCAGTGCTTTAGGTAAAGAAGAAAGGAATAAATTAACACAAGGCATTTTCCACCTTTAGACTTTCAAGGAGTTAACTGGAAGTTAAAATAGAAAGTAAGAAACCTGTATTAATTTGTAATTTCAGCTGAAGATTGTATCAAAGTTTTGTATGGGTATGACATTCAATGCCTTGAAACACAAGGTTGGTTTTCTAAAAAGAAAATGAAAAGCCAATTTGCTAATCTATCTTCTTTACTAGGATGGAATGAAAGGTTCAAAAGATACCACAGACGATCTAAATTTCCCAAATTTGGTAAGTTATATTAAAAATGAAGTAATTCCCCCACTTTAAGGTGAATATTATATCTTGTATTTAATTACTCTGCTTTAAATTATTGTATTTCAGACAGATGTGCACCATATGTCTTTAAAATATTTTGGTTTTATTTATTATTTAGAAAATTCCACTGTTTTCCTTCCTGTATTAAGGGAAAATCTATAGCTCAGCTGTCCTAGTGTCTTTCTTCACAGACTAATTTTGTAGAATGGATCTGTAGGTTTGTCACACTGCTATATGAAAGATTAATAATTATATCATTCAGGAAATCTGAAGCCAAATGACATCTGCAGCTCTACATGTGTTAATTTCTCATTCAGTCAATATTTTTGGTTTAGGGAATTAAAACAAATTAATCTTATAATTAATGTGACTTTCCTAGGCTGAGAAATCTTCAGGAATTGGGGAGTTTTCAGAATTAGTTGCATTTTCTTAAAATAAAGCCAGACAATAATGACTTTAAGAAGTCCTCCATCTCCCAGATTTGTTTTGTTCTCAATAATAAGGAGGAATGCAACTGCATAAGCTTCGTAATTTGTTTCACATCTGTGAACCAGGAGTTTTCACAGTGGTTCCAGTAACCAAAGTAGATATGAACACTGGCTCGGAGAGAGAATTTCTTCCAGTTGCAAAGATCCCAGAACTGCCTACTATCCTTCACGCTTAAAAGATCCACCTGTTTCTGGTAGGTAAATTATGTGCAGAAACTTGTTGCCAGTATTTGAATCCCCTCCAAATGACCAGCTGAAAGAGCCGAAACGAGATTACAATCAAGGATTCAGACTTGGCTCGAAGGGAACATCTCTGTCAGAAACGTGTAAGTTTGCAAGGAAAATAGCTTTGGTGTTGGGAGTCAGTGGAATTCAGTAAAATATTTCCTGTAATTCAGCCTCAGTTTCCCCCATGCAGGATTACGGGGGTGTTTTATAAATGATCCTGAGGAGACCCCCTGTATCTAATCCCAAGGTGGACCAAAACATCCCTGTTGCACACAGAGCAGGTAGCCTCGACAGACAGAGCCACGACGCTTACACAGATCTTTCCAAGCTCTTCACAGCCCTGATATCGCCTTCACAGTCACAAAAAGTCCTTCCAGCAAAGGATATGCTTTCCCTTTCCCTTTCCAGAAGAGACCAGGGGTCCCAGAGGCAGCCAAAAGTGGAGGATGCTGTTGGAGCCACATTGTCAAAGAGCTGGCAGGAGAATCCGGAGCCTTACAGCTCGTCGAAGCCACATAAGCTGCACATATTTAGGAAAACTGATAGGAATTGGAAGTTGCAGCTTTGTTTAATAGGTGGGGAAGAACAGAAGGAAAATTTGGCACCCAGAAGGAATGCTGAAAGGGGAAACGTTTCCTCTGCACTGGAACCTCTCTTATGGGTTTTCTGCTGTTAGGTGATCCTCCTTCCATATCTCCTTTTTTAAAATATTTTGCTTTTATGCGATACAGATTTTAATGGCACGTTTTGTGAATCTTGCAGCTTTTCTATTTGGGAGGTCATCTCATTTAATATGTCAGTTCCTGTGACTTTTACACGCCACAACCATTTTATTTTCAGTTAAGACCTACAGAAAGCTTCTAGCACTTGCACCTACAGATTGCAACGTATTACTATTCTTGCAGGTTAGTAAAGGTCTAGCTGCTCCTGGTAGAAAGCAATAAATTGTACAAGACCACCTCTTTACTTCATCAAAAAAAGAAGAGAGCTCTGTTCCTTGGCTGACATGGAGAAAATCATATACAATCCAGTCTGCCTTACTCAGCAACAACTGCTAAACACACCAGATTGTCATAGCAGTGATCGTGGAAAAAGATGAACACAATATGGAATGTCTGTTCTGCAAAGATCTGCTCAAAATGACGTGCACTTTTGGCTGCATCTGTTGCATTTTTCTGAGCTTTATTAAACAGTATTAATTATATATACTCCATTTCATTAAGAACTGCAAAACTGTATTAAAAGCCTGATATTAAAATGCAAACTTTTCTCTTAAGGTATTATGTTTGGGGGAAAATTAAGTCAATGTAATTCTAAGGTTTGGCTTTGCTGTTTGGTTTAGGTATTTGAAATGCTCTCCTATTTTTAGTCGATTTGATATGCATCTGGTAAAGGAAAAGTAAGAATTGGGTATGAAGATGCTCTAAATTTCATCATAAGAACATGAAAACATCAGAATAACCAAACTCCAGCTGTAAATGACACAAAATAGACATAGGCACCGTACCTATACTTGGATTTGAGAGCACTGTTGGAGACATTCAGTCCTCATGTTTAGATACTGCACACTAAATTCTTTTTTTACTCAGGATTTTTTATTTTTGAGTCTAAAACACACTTTAAGAAAGACCTTTGAAGTCTCTCTTAAGAACTGGCTGAGATTGAGTGGTCTGGGTACCAGAATGCAGCCCAGGGTTCAGTCTGATTTAGTGAATTCCCTTTGTAATCTGAATTAAAACTTTCAGGACTGTCCTTGAAATGGGAATTGGGAGGGTGGTGGTATCAGCAGCACCAGTATTGAGCCTCCATTTTCTCTCCCTTAGATTTTCTGTTTATAAAATGGGTGTGACAGTATTTTTTTTTCACCACAGAAGGATGCTGTCAGGATTAATTGATGACTTGACATCCCTCTTTTCAGCCTAAAACAATTTAAAAAAGCAACTTCATAGCACTACGATGATGCTCCTCTATACAATCAATGGCAACAGTCTTCGAAACACCCTTCTGCTATTCAGGGTTTTGTGAATTCAGCCTGAGCTCTCGAGCCTTCCCCATTGCTGGAACTGGAAGGAGAGTGCACAGAAACCAGCTAAACTGGAGTTACTCCCTGGGGCTGCAGGATACCCATATTCTTGACCAGTGATGGAAAAAACAATTAAAAAAAATAAAAATAAAAGTACCACCAGAATTTGGCTCTTTACATTATTTGGTGCATATTAATTTCTTGAATTTGATTGAAATTCAGTAAGAGACCCATGTGGGTCTTCTGTGACTTAAATTTAATTTTTAAAATATATGTAAACTTATCATACATGGTGCTAATCACAGTTATTGAGCATTTGGAGGAAGACACATATGTCTATGCAGTTAGAAAGTAGAAAAGTTGTGGAAAAGAGACGGGATTTGGTCAAAGGGGCAAAATAAATGCAGTCCATTAAAAAAAAAAAAGTTAAAATCTATGGTTTATACAAGATAATCAGTAATATGGAAGCGCTAAACCAGGGGAGAAAGTCTTAATATTTAAGAAAATCCTGTGTAAAGGGTACATAATGCTTGTGATGCCATCGCTTAAGGTGCTACCTACTCTGAAAGGGTTACAAATAAGCTCAACTAAAAGCAGTATTAAAAGAGTTGATCTTAATCTTCTTAGCACATTTAGCATGGGAGATTTTCAGTGACAGAGAATCCCCAAATTGTGAGGCCACGCCGAAATATTTCACTTTTACAGTGCCTAAATTGTCCTAGATCCAAGCAATTCAAACTGGGTTCATCTCCTTCTGCCTCCCCATTTCATAAAATTATCTGAATGTCAGATGGGCAAAGGTGGGAAATGGGAAATATTCAAACAGGTACAAAATCTCTAAAAGCTAATGTAGCATTTTTTTTTTTTTTAAGTGAAGGATATGAAGTTTCTAAAACACAGACCTTGAAGTGGGTGACAGTGGTCCTTTAGTTTTCCGGAAGTGAAATAGTGAGGAGCGAGTTTGGCAGCAAAGGGGGCAGATGAGATGGGCAAAGTAATGTAAAGGGGGAGAGAATGACAAGGAGAGAAAAAAAATAATAAAAAATACAAATATTCAAGTTGAATACTAAAAAATGATGGCATATCCAAACCCAGGGGGGGGAAAGATAAATACAGGGTAAATAGAAGTGAAAAGGGAAAAGGCACAGGCTTGGGAAAAACGAAAGGATATAGAAAAATCAGACTTGAAGATAGAGAGAAGCTGCAGAGAGCATTTGAGAGTGCTATCAGTGGTAGAGAAAAGGTCAGAAAAATATCAGTAAAGATATAAATTAGGAAACAAAAATAAAACTGTATGGTAATTAAAGGAGGAGAACCAAAGAGAAGAAAGAGAGCAAAGGCAGGCAGAGGCGTTAGCAGGGAAACAGAGTGCGGTGAGGACAGAGAACAAAAGCACCGTGGAGAAAAGGGCAGAAAATCTGCAAAATCCCTTGGAAAA